ATTTTCTATGAATGAATATCAGTCAGTTCTTGAACCTGTGAAAAGCCCAAAATATAATGAGCCCAGGTGTCAGCATAGGTTTTGTAATATGTATTCTGTTTGAGAGCAGGAGCAGTAAAGGATTCATTCATCAATGAAGAGAGCAGCAGACGCACCGAGACAATTACAGACAGAGAGCAGGGTTCAAACAGAAAATGGAAAAGGGAAGACTAACATGAAAGAAAACTATTTAATTTGTCTTCCTGCCATTGTCAAATTCCTCTTGTGCTGGAGCCCTATAGTGCATTTGGTGGAGCAGATGTTAATAGCTTAACAGGGCAAGGCAGTAAGTGTTTAATTAGGTCTGGGAAAAATGATTTATTCAACACATCTGGGCCCGTGAAATAACACTCTCTGGACTCCGTCTTTCATGACTCTCGAGCTGGATTCCCTCCCGAACCGGAAAATATAACTGCCTGTAGCCTGAGCTTTCACTCTTGCCGAGCAGAATTCCTAATCAACACCGTCTGTGTCCTGTAGTGAAGTCACATCCGCTGAATAGAGCACAGAAAAAACTGCAGCTAGTAGGAGGAGCGGCCCAGCAGGGGGTGTGTCAGTGACGATCAAGAGGTGCAATACAGTTTCAGTGGTGAGGATTACTGGGATTTGTGCATGTCGCTGTCTATGCTCAGACCACATCAAAAGCCACATGGTGCCAGGTGAGGTTCTTCCCTGTCCTTTTGTATAGATGATAGCTTTGATATTTCCCCAAGGCAGGAGTAAGGAAGACCTATTTTCCTTCTTACAATATGCGTGTGGCTTTGGTGAGAGTGACCACTTATCCACAATGGCTCAGGCCTGTGTGCTGTCATGGTGCACTGGACACACCAGGGAGCGGCTGGTGGATCCAACCTGCCGGATATCAAAGGACTCTAGGAGGAGATTCTGGTGATGTCATGCCAGAGTGGGAAACGGGTTCATCTTGGAAGGACAGACCTCATGTTTAATTTCATTTAAAGGGGCAATAAACACATGTTGTGCTTTAAAGGTCACCTATTATGCAAAATCCAAAAGATGTGTCCCCTCTGTGTGAAGAGATTCTGAAAGTTTCAGGAAAAAAGATTCGCTCACTTTTTGTCCTGATCCATTTATATAAAAACCTGTCTGAAAATGAGCTCATCAGATTTTGGCCACTTTATGATGTCATCATTTTTTGTTGGCTTGTGTAACCATTTGCCAATCACCAACCAAGGTACCCCCCCCCCCCACCTTATCACCTGAATCTCCTCCTAGAGCACCATTATGTTATTTTTAACCAAATCTCTCTCAGAGGGGCGTGGGGGAGTGGCTCCTTATTTTCATCTAAAGTAACAGACAGAGAATCAACACTTTTGAAACAGGGCTGAAACAGAGGGGATTATGGGATGCTACAATGATCTGTTTGGTATTTTGACCAAAACACTTCATAGACATGTTTTGTTTGTTCATATATTGATGAAAAACAGTATAATAGGGGATCTTTAAATTATCAATATGAAGTAAAAATGTATTGCACAATTGACTAGCTATAGAAATGTGACACTATCACCGTTTAGAAGTTTCCTTTAATCAGGATGAAATGATGTCTGACTTGCCATCTCCTGAAGAAATGACGGCTCCATTTATGGCACACAAAGGAAGAGGAAATAACGAGGTAGTAAAACGATAGTAAAATATAATAACAGACTTCAAACTCTTTATTCCTACCACATTTTCAACGGCAGTATATTCCAGCTTCATCCTTCCGGTGTTATCTTTCACAAGAAAAGCCCTAGACATAAAAAGTGCATTACTGCTTACCAGAGGGCATTTTGCCAAGATGACAGCAGATATCCACAGGTAATGAAAACGGCAGGTGGTAAAACAACCGTTAAGACCCGTCAAAAGAGACCTGCTGATGGAGGCAAAAAGAAAGTTGGAGAGATTGGGATTAATAAGCTATATCGGTAGGTAAAGAAATCTGCCTACTCACATATACTTCTGGGTGTTTAACTACTAGCTTTTATCAGCGTGCTAAGATTGGAGTTTCTAGTTGAAATTTGATTATTTTCAGCAGTGGCCGGGTTGCAAACGGTATATTAACATTGTAAAATAAAGTATATCAATCTACCTGTTTATATGAACATTAATGGACACATCTACTCACCATTTCTGTTGCCAGATTGTAAAGAAACTATTTGGTAGACATGAGTTTTCGTTGAATGATGCCACATTCAAGTGCCAAGTATTTCTAGCTATTTTTGCTTCTCCACCACAAGGACATTTGTTTTTTGGCAGATCTGTTCTGGGCTCTCCTTTTCACCATAACATGGTCATGCTCATGCTGTCATGCTGCCATGGCACACACTGTGTTGTTTTGGGGAGAAAAGGTAAAACAGGTAACTTGGCTGTGGCTCGTGCCAGCTGCTCCACACCTAATGGTAATTTGTTTGTGACCACAGTCACGCAATCGCACTGTGAGACTTGGCCAAAACATCTCCATCAGTCACCGGGACAGGTGTGCTGCCTTCTGGCCTCTCGTTGTGGTGCATTATATTTGCACCTTGATCTTTAGAAGAACAATATTATTTTCCCTCATGGTGTGAACTCCCTCTGCTCAATCTGGTGAGTCATGTTCCACGGCTGTTTATTAAAAGTTATGAGATAAGAAATGTGACTGACATATTGATTAATAACTCATACATTATCATTATCTTTGCATGCTATGAATGATGATCAAATCTGTAAAGGTAGATCACGGTTTCAGGTTTTCTATTTTTTCTAAACATCTTGAATTGCTATTCCTCTTTATTTAGACTTGATGAAAAGTGTTGCTTTCATTTACTTGATGTAGAAACATAACTTAAAATAGCAAAAGATGACTTTATTGCTTTTTGTATAGCTTGATGTTGTGGGGTAGAAGTGTGATGTCGATATTAAAACTTAGTAAACTAGTGATAAAGATTTGCTGCAGTTTGAGAACAGAGGCGAAAATAAATTAGTTATTATTATTCTGATATATGTCTGTAAACAAGTCAGAGCTGAAATAATATACTATGGATGTTGGTAAAATTGATGAGTGTTATACAAGAACATCTGCATCAGAATATGTGTGAAAGTAAGTTATAACTACCAGTGTTGTGAAGCATAGAAGACTTTCAGAGGCTGAAAGGACAACCAGGGACTGGCCTATAGTAAATCCTGCTGATACAAGAGAGTTATTTAAAGTATTCTCTGTTGAAAAAGGGAACACTTTACTCTACAGCAGGTCAACTTGGTCTTTATCCCTGATAAAACAAACGGTAGCACGTTCTTAAGTGAGCTAACTTCATCCAAGAACTGTCTCTCTTCTCCTCTGGAGTAAAACGTAGCCGGAACAATACAGATGTTTCAACAATAAATTCAATATTAGCCTCGGGCTAACTGTTGAAATGTGACCTTTGGAAACTTTTGAGCCTGTATATTGCACGCCTGTAAATGCTCTATCCATGTGGGGCTTTATCATTGGTAAAATAAAAGTAGCCCGATCTTAAGAAAGCTATCGCGAACTTTACCTGAGTGCTGTCTCGCTTGTCCTCTGGAGAAAAGTTAGCCCAAACAATATAGATTTGACAACACTACGGCAGACTCACTGTGAAAGTGAGAGAAAAGACTGAATCAACAATTGGGAAATTGTTCTGCCTGTATCGCAGGGTTATAAAGATCATATTCTTTAGGCTTATGCTAACTTTACCCAAGCGTGGTTAAGCAAAAATAATACAGATATTACAGCAACAGCATGAGCATGAAGCTGGCATTATTCTCAGTCTTTATATTGCAGCGCTATGAAGACTGTATCAGTTTGAAATAACCAAGGAACATTTACTTTAACCCACATAATTACAGCTGTAATGAGATGCCTATTCATTAGAAAACTAGGAAGTGTATTTACATTGCAGCTACATTATCTACAACTCAATGCATTGCACCTCACTAAAGCCTTCAATATGTGGAAATGAGAAGCACATTTAAAATATCACAGAAATAGTTAGATCCATGTACAGTAGCTAACCATCTGTCAAAATATGTAAAGTGCATACAAGTGTTTCCTCAAGCGCTCCAAGCGAGCCCCCCCGCTGAGAGCAGCTGCCGCCCTGACTGAAAGATCCCATTCATATTGGCTTCACTGCACAGTTTGAAATACATGGTCTTAATTGCCGTTTCAAAAGACCCATGTTACTACAGGTTTCAAAGGAAACTGAGATCTGAATACTGACTCTGAAAGATGATTACTTCACATTATCAATTATAGGTCTACATTTAGTTATAAACCATTTCATTGGCATTGGATTCATTGGCCAGCGTTTGAGTCTAAATGCTGATTCAGGGCCTTTCCATCCGAGCAATTAAAGATTTTGCAGGGGGAAACAATGATATAGGATTCTGCATCACATAGAGCCTGGAGGACAGCCAGTTCAATCCGCCTCAGGGCTGATTTATCGTCCATATTTCCTCTCTAACAAGACCAGACAGTAATAGCAGAGGCCCAAAGCTGTTAACAATGTAAACTGAATATATCCCATTCCTATTTGTGTTATTTGTGTGTGTGATTCTTTCTGTAAATTGGGTTCTGATTGCCTTACAGTGACGGGTAACCTATCCTCCGTTCACATGAAATTACAGCGTACAGTATAAATGATTATATTCACGGTTAATATATTTCAGATAAAGCTCAGGTGACCAATAACTTAATCTTTTTGCCACATAATTGTATCTCCCAAGAGAAGCTAACATATTTAATTTCAGCAAGCTTTACTGGCATCATGCAAAGAAAGAATTCAAAAGGATGAAAAGATTTTAGAGGAAGAAAATATTTAAGTCTGAAGTAGTTTGGCCTGCAGGTTAAAAATTGATTCATTTAATGAACGATGAATTCATTGGTGACCGTCACTGAGGACTCTGCTTGGTGTTCCCGCCATGTTTGCTGCCTTGATGCCAGGCGTATGCCAGGCGTTTACCATGCGTCACTCGTCACAAGTTACAGCACTGTGATCCAGCTTCTTCAGATGAGGCAGGGCAGAAATCACACGATTCCTAAAAACACACACATTCACACATCAAATTAAATATAGGGCTTCATGTGTCCCTCTAGAATAGATTATAAACAGACACAACATGTTAATAACAAAGATATATTTCGGTCTAAGCAAAGCTATTAAGTTATTAAGGCGAATTCATGACAAATCTAACCAATGAAAGGTGATCTTCCTTCTGTGTATGTATGTGTTTGTGTTGCAAATAGGAGCAGGATACTTGAGTATTTTTGATTGAATTCTCCTCTATTCATCTACTGCAATTTATTTCAGTGGGAAAAGCCCATTAATCACCTTATGACCCCTCAGATGTATCTACTTTTGGACCGTTGGACTACACAAAAGTAGTAAAAAGTAGCATTGTCTTGACTTTGCAATAGTTGTTCTCTCTTTCAATCAATCAATCAATCAATCAATCAATGTTTATTTATATAGCCCAATATCACAAATGTTACATTTGTCTCAGTGGACTTCACAGTTTGTACAGAATATCAGTATGACAATACGACACCCTCTGTCCTTAGACCCTCACATCGTACAAGGAAACACTTCCAAAGAAGGAAAAAACCCCACAGTTTAAAGGGAAACATGGGAGAAACCTCAGGGAGAGCATCAGAGGAGGGGTCCCTCTCCCAGGACGGACAGACGTGCAATAGATGCCGTGTGTAAGTCAAGTATCCATTAGCCATTGGTCTATAAACTGGTCCAGAAGTCAATGAAATCACTATTTTAAAAGTGGAATACCTTCTTTAGAGCCTTAGTCTTTTTTAAAGTCGTCAAAGGTCAAAACATATTCTTAGATTTGCAACAATCAACAGGTATGAATCCACTTCACAGGAAGCCATAAGGACCGTTCATTTACATATAGGGCCTAATGTGTAGATAATCAGATCCTCAGTACTGCCTCATGACTGAGCTTCTCAGTTCTAAATCGTTCTGATTTGATCCAGATTTATCCGTTTTTATGACCCAGAAACAGGGACTTCTTGCAGCCAAGCAGAACATGTTTGAGTGTTTAAGTGGGGTTGGGAGCAAACCTGTGTAAATGAAAGAAAATGAGGTTTCCACCTGTAGTTTTTGTTTGTATCGATGGCATTTCCATGAAGCGTGATGCTGTGCAGATACGGCAGCTCCCCCAGCCTGTCTACCTCTGGCAGGTTCCAGATGGCATTGCCGTGAAGGTACAAGACACGCAGTTCTCGCAGCTCGCACAAAACCTGGAACACAAACCCACTCAGCCAAGTAAGTTTACAAATTAAATTAGAAAATATGTTAAGGCATAAATAATACAAGCAGCTATGAGCTTAGCACACTGGTAGAAGGTTGTAGAACTCATAGCATTCTGGGAAGAGAGTCTGTTGATTGAGTATATATATATATAGGATATACATATTTTATACATATTTTTATATATATCTGTATTTTTGTATTCGGGATTGTGGGAAACGGGATTTCGATCTCTCTGTCTGTACACACAAACAGAAAGATTGACAATAAAGTTGACTTTGAAATGACAATACTGACAATAAGCTAATAAACATGGTAAAGCAAATAGAAGCAAGCAAAGAGAGAAGCCCTCACCAGCTCTATGCATGTGATTTTGTTGAACGAGAGGTCAAGCCAGCCGAGCTTCAACGGTTGAGCCAGAAAGTGTCCGAGCATGAGCTGGAGGCCGAACAGGTCGGGGATGTTGTTGTAACTGAGACGGAAACTGCGGCTCGAATACTTCCCCTTGGAGTTGGATTTTAGAGGGCGCAGACCACTTCTGGGTGCCTCCGCCAGCGCACCTTAACCACAAATAAAGCATTTACAGTGCAAGTCCAGCTTTTCTTGAGTACTTGTATATCAGAATCAGAATAATTAGTCCCACGGTGGGGAAATGTGCATTGTTAAAGCAAAGGGACGGTGTAGACAGAAATATAATTAGTAGACTAACATTATAAATAAAGAGGCAAGCACATGTTTTAAAAAATGTCTGTACACATCCATGGTAAGCAGCATTATAAAAAAGTCATTGAACACAACAGTAGTTAAGTAGCAGCCAGTAATCAAAATAATACAATGAAAAATGCTGCTAACTCTTTTAATTTAAGATGATGCATTTTGGTCAGTATGCGCTCATTACACTTGAGTACATTTTCAGTCAAATAATTCAACAGTGATGTCTTTCTTTGGTGTCTTATTCATCACATTGTGTCTCATGTGGCAGCACATGGACAATGCACTTTCATATCAGTACGTTACCTAACATGTGAAATAATGACCCACATGTCAAGGAAGAACTCTGCTAAAGGATTTCATTAACTAAAAAAGCAGGTGGGCTAAAGATAACACCTTACCATGAATAATGTAAGCCATGTGATACATTAAGCATCACAGTTATAACAGCAAGGCTAAGTCTCAATGAGAACTTTATAGTCCGGCAGTGGCTCAGTCAGTAGGGGCTTGGACTGGGAGCCGTAGGGTCGCTGGTTCAAGTCCCCGACCAGACCTAAATATGGAGTGTGGACTTCTACTTGGAGAGGTCCCAGTTCACCTCCTGCCCTGCCGTGGTGCCCTTGAGCAAGGCACCGGACACCCCCCTTCCCCCCCCACTCCCATTGCTCCCCGGGCGCTGTACAATAGCTGCCCACTGCTCCTAGTACTAGACTCCTTGTACTAGGATGGGTTAAAAGCAGAGGCCAAATTTCACTGTGTGTGCTGTGTGCTCTGCATGTGTGACCATTAAAGAGGGTTTCATCCCTCCCTATATAAAAAAAATATATATATATATAAATATATATAATACCATATATGATCAGCAGTAAAGCTTACCTGTTACACTGCTGATGTCTTTGAATGAGAGATCCACTGGAGGGCTATACATGTTCAAGTCTGAAGGTCTTTGTTTCCAAAAACAGCAAACTTTTCATATGAAACTATTGAATATGACATCTGAATAGACCACATAGACCTGTTTACAGATTCAAATATAAACATATGGGTACAAAATTACAACAATTGTGTTTCCTAGCAACTGTTTTCCTTATGGCACTTTAATTTAAAGGAGAGGTGTCATGCTCATGTCAACACAGAAAATACCTCCCCAAAACGCCTCGTTGGAGATACGTCATTGTCCATTTGATTCTTCCGGGACGGCATGATGCCAAGCCGTACCCGGAACGAAATGGACCAATCCGTGGAGCCGTTACGTTACGTCCGCGGAGCCGTTACGTTAAGCCCCCGCTGATTGGTCCAAATTGACCAATCCACGGACTTCCTCACACACACACATCTGTGTGCAGGGAGCAGGCAGCTCAGCTGATTTCTCCTCCCTGGCTGCAGGCTGATAACAGACAGTTGGGATCGCGGCGAAATTCTCTCTGCAGACCCATTCTCACAGCGTTTATCAACCTTTTTCTTACTCAATATCAAGCCACACTTATTGTTTTTACTTCGGCTGTGACTTTGTGTGTGCTCAGGATGAGTTTGGCTGTGTTTGGCTGTGTATCGCTAACAAGGAAACAACACCTCCACGGAGCTCAGCGCGATTCACAACGTCCCGACCAATCAGAGCACATTGTGCTCACAGGGAGGGTGGGGGCTGGAGCTATTGGAGCTACAACGAGCCGTTAAAGGCAGAGAGTGAAATTCAGTGAATACACGTAGTTTACAGAGATGCTGTATGAGAAACCAATGTGAGTTTGGAAAAATGCACAGTATAAATCTATTTTAGTAGACCTCAACAATGGAATTATGATCAGTGGAAATGGCCATGACACCTCTCCTTTAAAAGAAAATGTGTTATCAGAACGGCAGAAATTCGGCTCAAGTTTAAAACGCTATCTAAAAAAAGACCTCAAATCCTTATTGATCCTATTTACAAACATAAATTCTCCATCTCTATTCAACTCTTTAAAACTTCATTAAGCTCAAGTCAGATTATAATACAATGACTGCAGTACTTCACTGTTGTTATTCACACAGTAAAATCTCTCACAGTCAAAAAGGTATCGTTTAAAATGAAAAAAGAAACACTTATCATTGGAACAAGTATGTGGCATACATAACAATAATATTTGGTAACTTCATCATTAAACCCACAGTCAGGTTTGTCAATGATTCAGAGCCGGAACTGAGAAATGTTGTGCTTGAAAACGGTGAAGTAAACACACATTTGGGAAGAAGTATTCCTCTAAAGACCTCTGTCCCCTCAAGCTACTGTACAAAAGACATTCAAACCCAGTTACAACCTCAGGCCTTTGTGCATGTTCACCTTCCTCTGACTGCTTTAGCTTCCTCATACGATCAAACTCAGGTGAAGGTCACTGGTGTGTCAACAACATGCTTAAGACTGAATGTGAATATGTCTATATGTTATACAGTGGAGCTAACCTCGTAGGCCCTTACCTTGTCTGTGTGCCCCTGAACTGGGCAAGCAGATTTAAGACACAAAATAACAGAAAATAACAGAAAATGTGTTTGAGAGGGCAAACAGAGGCCAAGTATTTATTTAATAAAAGAGCACATGTTCAATGTGAAAAGTGACAGTAGATATAGATTAGTTGCAATTTGGTGCTATATATATATATATTAAAAAAAATAATTAATAATATTTTTTTTAAACACCTTGAATTTCAACAAAACTGATTGACAAACACTGCCTTGTCACTCAATCAAGATGTCAGTGTGTATGTGTTTTGTGTAGCTTCAATAATAGCATAATAGCATTTCATCCTTCAATGAGCTGTAACAAAAACAGGCACACGCACGCTGAGTCCGAGTCAAGGACGCAGACAAAGACGGACAGAGACACAGGCTGGAATCAGTGTGTTTGTGACCACGGGTGTCAGACTGTGTGAAGTAGGAGTGTGAGGAGGTTTTAAAGTGTGTATGTATGCTTTGTAAGCTTCTTTACAGCAATTTTTGTCATACAGATGAGTGAAAACTGCTTCTTTAGGGGTTCATTCAGGAGTATGTGTGTATCTTTCTCTTGGATGTCTCTTCACAGATGAAAATCAGGGTCACTTTAGTTGAATTAAATATCAAAAACAAGTCCCAGTATTCCTAAATATTCAGGCTCATGACCAGAGCAGATGGAAGGTCTCGACTCAGCGGTGGCTCTCTCTGTGTAACTGCCATCTTCATGCCCTTGAGTAATGTGCTTATCTGACATCTACTACACCAGCAAACAGTATGACACTGAAGAAGCTCAAAGGTGTGAATATGTCGTTTTTAAACGGCAACACAGTGTTTAAAAAAAAAACGCTTATTTTAACAGGATCTTTAACAGGAAACTGAATATGCATATCGACACTAAAGGGTTAACTGTAGGCTTTAAGATAATCAGCATATGAAATTTGAAAGAGAAAAAAATACTGCTGGAGGCAAAAGATGAACAGCCACAGGCAAAATACTGTCAGAAAATGAAGGGCTACACACACACACACACACACACACACACACACACACACACACACACACACACACACACACACACACAATGGGGGTCGGACCCATTTCCATTTTCATGTAATGAGTGGGTTTTAACAATGTTCAAGGTTCACGACTCTCGGTGAGATTTGCCCTGAAATCTTGTCTAATATCTTGCAATTTGAATTGTAAATGTTGAATTGATTAAAATCCAGATAAATAAAACATGTTTTCTAACTCTTATGAACAAAATCCAGGGTTTTGCATAAATGTCCAACATGTCAAGTCACACACTATAATGCAAACACAAAAAAAAAATGCTCTAGGTTTCGGCACTGGTGGTCGTAAATGTTGAGTTTGAAATGTCAGAGCAATACGGCAGCTGTCAGAAAAGTTGTGATTCTTCCAAACTTTTTTTGGTTATGTTATTATAGCAACTCTTCTGCAACCAAATGTCCAACAAAAATCGACACTTTACGACAAGAATTTAGGATTAGGATTAAATGTAGTCTGTGGCCATTATCAATTGTGGTTTTGACTACAGAAGATCACTTTAGAAGGAGTAGCCTCCTGAGCAAAGAGAGGTTTAAGACGGGCACTTCAGGTATGCAATCTGCAAAAACACATCAACAAACACCTCCTTTCATTGTGAAGGTGCATTTTCTTGCAGCTACGCAATAACCAAATGCATATCTATAGAAACACAACAACACAGGCCAATCTTTGCTTCAACTGCAAACAAGTGCTGTCGTTTTCACGCTCGTATTTTAACTTTCTTTCTCTCCAGATTTGAGACAAAATATATTCTTCCACGTTAAAAAATGTATGATATCAATTGTGTCTGCCTGCCTGTGGCATTCCCATTCAGCTAAGTATAAACAAAACCATGTCTTCAGGTGATTTTCTAATGATCTTGTACAGACAGCACTTTAAGACAGGAGCTCTCTCACAGTTATTCTAACCAGACAATAGTATCTTTAATTTCAGCTTCATTTCATGACTTCTTCCTTTTCACTGAATTACATTTTTACCCAGTTATAGGAATTACAGCTACTGCTAGAAACACAATTACACACAAACATACTTGAGCATAGCAGATTCATGACGCAGAAAAAATAGTGTCTTTCTTTCATAGAAAATGTGGAAAAATATGGAAAAGGGGAAACGGTGTGCAGTACAAGAGGCTGCTTTTCTTATCTCTACATCCCCAGGCACATATAGTTAGCAGAGAGCTTGTTGCAGGTTAAATATCCTTGATCCTTTCAATAGCATTGATATCAAGCCCTTGCCAGTTATGTTCCTGCACGTAATTAAAAAGGCTCATGCCCTCTAGGAAACTCAGTGTGGCCCGAGGGGACAAGGAAACAAACTGCAACACACAATACACACACCAGGGTTTCCCACACATAGACTTTGTATTATATATTAACGTCCGCCAAAGTATATTTTGCGACCCATTTAGGTTTAATCTAAAAAGCCATATGTTTTGTTGCCCAAGGAAACATAGAGGCATCTTTTGGCTATTACCACTAAACAAACATCTAAAATTCTCCCTCATTTAGACTCATTTACATCACTACATAATGATCGTTTCCATTTTACTGCCATTCCTGTGTCTCTTTCTTACCAATCTGTCCTTCTCGTCCAATAAGAAAGACGTGTGTCCTCGTCTCTCAGGACTCGAATGGCGCTAGCAATGTGAGCTCAAGTTTCTTTTCACCCCATTTTTGTTTTTCCGCTCATTTACTCTCTGTAATATAAAACCCATCTTCTTCTTGCTCATCATGCATACCCTCAGCCCTTCCTCTGTCACCATCTCTCATTGTAGCCTCCCCCGGAACTCTTCCGTATTAAATAGGAGGACATGCTATTAACCCGCTAGTCACTCAGCCCGCTCGTGGCATGGATACACATGGTTGCTTCCCTTGGATTAAAACTATACTGATAGTCAATCTGTCCGATCCTCAGGTCCTTGGTTGTTAAGTCAGTCAGCGAGCCAGTCCATCAGTCAGTTAGCTGCTCTGTCAGATGGCCATCGGACCAGGAACACAAGGTATCAGTCATGTCAGTCAGTATGGGGCCGGGCGTTTCAGTCCATTAGAGAGGCACTTACAGAACTCATGCTGTACCCTGAAGATAATTATCTGTTACTTATACACTCAGTTGTACAGTTGGTAGGAGACAAACAAATGAAATGTGAATGATTGGTTTTGTTCGTCATTGTAATTGGCAATATTCCCTTTATCGAGGTGAATACTGCATTGAAGGTGGAACTTTTTCAGGTTATATTCTGCAAATAAACTTAATATAAGATGGTTTAGTAAAAAGCAGTATTTTGCAGCACATTCTTCAGATGTTACTTCTGCTCTGGTTTACATTAAACGTTTGCATTAATGTACATTTTTATTTGCCAATTTGAACAGAAATGATGTAAGGTTTGCCATACCTTTGGTT